TGAACTGAAGCTTGTTAAGAGTGCGATCCATCAGAGCTTGGGAATCTCCGTTCTTCTCCCTCAGGTGAGCGATCGCAAGTTGATAGGTGATACCGGAAGGTTGAAACTATCCCTTCGCTTCTCCTTGGAGAACTCCTAATAGGATAGTTGAGTTTGTACAGCTCGTCGATGTTTTTACATTGTGAGCATCTCACTTCACCGGTATTAAAAGGAAAACTACATTTGCATGAAGTTAAGAAACAGATATTCGCTTTTTTGAGAATGGACAGTTTTTATTTGGAAGTTAAAGTAAGAGGTATAGCAGAGAGTCGGGTACTTGACAGGGACAAATCCAATTTACAGCTGGAAGCCAACTGTGACCATACAATAACTTAACGAGTAAACGTTGGAATTGGGTAGCACTTATCGTTAGGAGCGTTAGACTTTGCGGCATGGGTACGAGTCGTGCGCCTGGGAAGAGGTCGATCTTCCTCCTAAGTCAGGTCACCAAAGCTGCGCGATCATTGAAGCCTAAGGTAATGCATGAGTTTAGGCTTGAGTTTAGGCTTATGCTTACACATTGGCTTATGCTTAGCCTATGATTGGGGCCCAGGCTCAATCTAGGCTTGCTTCGAGCAAATCAGTGGTGTCCTAAGTTAAGGCGATTTAACCTGAGGAGGAGAAGTGAAACGAACCCGTGCGTTAGCGGACAGTGACCCGTGTTCGACCACTGGTATGTCGCCACTGCCCGACATACCAGTGGTCGGACAGTGAGGGAACGTGGGGAAGTTCCTCTCATGCACATTTTTTTCTCATGCCCTCACGAGCATGGGAAATAGGCGAGAGTCTACATGCGCATGAAGGGAACTGTCATCCTTTTGCCGCTGGACATCGTTCGAGCCGCTGGCGTCTCGCTTGTATTCCGCGATTCGCCAATTCGCAAAGTCTGACAACGGTCGTAGACAGGCTATTTCCATCAATTGGAATGCATCCTCAGTCCATCGACAAGATCAGTCCATCTTTCGATACGGTCGCCGGCCTGTACTCCACCAATCCCGCCGCTTGTTTTAGAGGCTGTCTGATGGATCACGTTGATTGATGTCAGTAAAGAAAAAACAAGGAGCAGAACCATGAAGAACTTGTAATCTTTAGTGATTGTCGTGGGATATGCAGCAGTAGGTCAAATAAAGTGGGCCCTGAGAAAAGAAACACTCCGATGAAAAACAGACTCACTCTTGGACGTGCTCTATACTCAATATTGCTCCGATATGGTCAAAAATGCTCCAGTTTGGATCCTCATAGTCGTAGTCATCAAGAGTCTGGTTGTAGAACCGAATCAAGCCGGAAGGAGCCGTGAAGAATACCAAGTGAATCAGATTGCTGCAAAGACAACACATAAAGTACTTGCTATCAAAATGCCACTGTCTCCGATGAAATCAAAAAATATTTTGTGGACGAACTCCTTCAAAAATTGCCATTGAAGGTCCCAGCTATCCTGCAGCGCACTGGTTGCCTCAAGATCCAGTAAGAGCCTATTCACAAGCTGCTCGCGAGGGCGGCAGAGCGCCGGTAATTTGCCTGAATCATAGCAGAAGATTTATAGGAGACCTTTTATCAAGTATTAAGCGACTAACCGCTATGCCTCATCTGATTCGCGTAGATGACAAACGCCTCTTCTTTCGTGATGTTCGTATCGGTGTCATTCAGCAGACAGTAACGCCTGAAATCCGAGCTTGGCTTAAATATTCGACTTGTAGCAGCGTCAATGCATTGCAAATGTCATTAGAGTTCCAACTATAAAGGATGAGGGTAAATCATCTGACGTCAAGCAAGTCCTTCTGGGATGCGCCGCGCATTTACTCACATTCAGAGTCGCAATGGTAGTCCGAATGCGATTTGGTTGGTTTAATAACTTGTCTTGTACTTTGCTAGTCAGTTTTTTCATTCTTCTAGACAATTTGTTACCAATTAACTGATATCAGGGGATGGCGACTTTTTTGGCTTAAAAGGCGTACAATCCACTATTCGATCCTCCAACCGTATGAATGGTAAGCAGCGCTACTTGCCACTATACCACTTACTTCTCTACAATCGTAGGTGTAAGTAAATCAGTATGAGTGTATAGCACTTGCGAATTGCCCTTTGACTGGGCGAAAATCCACCCACTGGCTCCGGGCCATCTGTAATTAATTAAACAAATGATTAGAGTGGAATGCAAATCAAGAACGACCATCGACATTGAAAGATGCTTGTTACGAAATTTGCGTAGTGCACTGATTTAGGCGCATCTAACGCATAAGAAAATGCCGAGCATTTTTGTCATTGGTCCTTCCATTTCATAGGGTCTGACCGGGGAAGGCTTGAACTTCTCAGAAGAAACTTTGGAACATCGAATGTGAATGAACACAGATAAAAAAAAGGTGGCTACAAATATGGAGAACAAAAGTGCAACCCGAATAGCAAGACGTGAGCGGTCAAAGTAGGGAGGAAGTGCAGCGATATATGGATCAAGCTAACCATCTGCATGAGATTTTATAATTATCTTTTGTGCTTTGTCTTTAGGGGAAAATAGTTAGTCATCACGAATACTTATTATTTCTGAAACAGCTTAAGTCCACCAAGTTTGGCACGCAACTTACTTTTCTTGCTAACTTGAAAACAGAGGACGGGGACTTCAATACTTTGATGTTGTGGGTACCCAGTCAGTCAACTATCCGTAGCAAGGGTAACTGTACAGTTGTTTGGGGTGTTTGAGTGAGAATAAAGACCAAACTAATCCATTCCATTACTCTGTGCCGTAATTACGCACCCACAGGATGACACAGCGCTCGTAATTTGAAAGAGCGCGTTAGGGTCGTCGGGTTAGTACTGTTAGCCATCGCCACCTGGCGTTAGATATGACCGGGAGGTGGTGCGTGGCTGGTATAGGGCCTGAAATCAGTTGGCTCGATGCCAAATCAATTGCTGGCACAGAATCAGCGAAGGTTGGCAGTCCCAGAAACTCGTTCGGACCCCTCCTGCTGTGCCCCGCCCTACTCTAGTGAGTAGTGATAGGTCCTACGTGACTAGTCGCTTTCTGCGTTTGTTCGTTCACTGTGGTTCGCATATCACATCGTTACCACTTAGTTTCCAGGCCAAGCACCCTAATGTCGAGCCCTAACCTTTGCCTTTGCCTTATGCTGCTCACCGGTAGGCTTGGAGTGGTTTAAGATACCAGTGAATAGCTCCTTCATATTTATGATCTACCCCAGTCTTGACCCTTACAATTTAAATTGGTCCTCCACACGCGTGGTTGATGGGGGATTTTGAAAAGCGCTTTCCGGGTGCGCCCTTTGACTACAGTCCATTTTTCAGATCTAGGGTTGCGTGGTAAATTGTACACCCTCGTACTGCGTTAGCACGGGAAGTGTAAAAAAATGACAACTTCGAGTCGCATTGATGAGTTTTTGAGAGCACTGCTCATTGAATTGAATCCAACAGGGCACCTCTGATTTGCAAATGCACATTTAATAAGCAAGGAATTGGATCTAAGGAGATGACCACAACGTTTGTGAGCTCGCTACTTTTACGTGACGAACGAAGTGACTTTTCATTTCCATTTCCATTGTATTCGCAATTTCGGGTTGGAACAAAGTATTGAACTAGTAATAGGCATCTCATCCTACATAGTATGACGTTTGAGCTGGAGAAAATCCCATTTGATTTTTTGTTCCAAAAATACCCTTGGATGAAGCAGCTGAAAAGCTGTTGTGAGCCATCCTAGTATTCGGGCAGCCGAAGAATGTAAATAATAATTGAAGGGAAGTGATCATACCAGTGAGGGTGAACTCTCCACTGCTTGTCTGACATCCAACTAGGCTGCACGTGGCTGTAATCGTACGTGCGGCTCTTCGGACGCCATCTGTAGTCGTCACCCTTCGCCACCGCTAGGCCAAGTCTAAACACAAACAGGCCATTTGGATGGAGTTCAATAGAGCGCAAGCATACAGTGTGACGTACACAAAATTAGCGCCTTTGATGCATTCCGAGTAGTAGACATTTGTCTGCGGGTAGACCCGATCCAGCATCTCCGTCGCGTAGAGCACGTCTAGCAGTTGAGGATCACTGTTGTCGCACTGCATGACCATTGACCGCACCTAAACTGATCTCCACCTATGCATTTAACGCGAATCTCGTAAATAATACTGGCACGCAACAGGTTGGACAGTACGAGGGCTCAGACTGACTTCAGCTCATGGAGCTGGTCAGTTCGAAGGGCGCAATGAGTACAGTAAAGTGCACAGTTCTTCGCACCGTCCGCCTGTCACGTTCGCACAACTGACCAAGGAATGCTTCCAAATTCCCTGGAAGTTTGAATGGAGACCCAGGCAAATCGGTAGAGTAAATACTATACGGATATGTAGACCAAAACTGCTACGCGACCTTTCTAGGCAAGTTGTAAGCGGTCAAAGTTGGCAATGAAATGCAGTAAAAAGAGTGAAGAAGAAACTGGCGCCAGATTGCCTCTGTCTTAAAAATGAATGCCATATTCGTGACGAGGCATCTGTTTACCCCTATAGGTACCGTTGGAAAAACTAAAAACGCCGATGCGGTTAGATTAGCTCGCCTCCTATACTGACGCTACCCTTCCTGTCAACTTTGACCGCCCACGATTTGCTTGGAATGTTCACGTAGCAGTTTTGGTCTCAATATTTGTAACTAGCATTCATTACTCTATTGATTCATCCCAGTCTCCATTCATAGTTTCAAGGGGAATTGAAAGCATTTCCTGGTGACACCGCCGAAAGAAAGCGCGAGCCAATCATAGGAGACTCTAGAAAGTGAAACTCTGACAGGAGTCTCATACTCATGCAGGATACTAGACATGCATTAGAGCGTTACGGCAGAAAGCACAGGGCGCCTGGTTAAACGAACTTCCGCGCGAGACGTACGAGGCACGCACGCGGCAGTGCCCACTGCGAGACACTCTCCAAGCAGTTGTAAGAATCAGGCATTGCGCACGCCTCGATAGCTCTCACGTACCACGAATCGGGCTTTTCAGGGCACCTGACAAGAGGCCCGTCGCGCAGCGAGAAGGAAGAGACGCACACGTGTCAGCGGACGTGTCGCAGCGTGTACT